AAGAAAAGAAAAGAAAAGAAAAGAAAAGAAAAGAAAAGAAAAGAAAAGAAAAGAGAAAAGAAAAGAGAAAAGAAAAAAGAAAGGGAAGGGAAAGCAAAGAAAAGAAAGAAGGAAGGAAGGGGGAGAGAGAGAGAGAGAGAGAGAAATAAGAGGAAAAATGGATTAATTGTACATGTTAATGGGGTTCCCTGTGGTGTGTTATTCTCACACATGTGTGTGGTGGACACTAACTGAATCCAGCTTTCCTTTATCTCCCTTCCCTCCTGATCCTTCCCAGCGTCTAGCAATCTCTATGTTACTGTGAGGGCATCTTGTGCAGCTTCCAATAGAGAGGAAACCCGTGGTGCTCGTCTTTGTGTGCTCAGCTTCCCTCACTTGACCCAGTGTCCTCCACTTCCACCCACTCTGCTGCAGATGTCAGAACAAGTGTCTAAAACACAGCCAATGGAAACGCAGTAAATGTCAGCCTCCAAGTGCTCTGTTCAACGCGCTTCTTTTTACAAAGAGGGAAGTATGGGGACCAGGAAGATGGCTCAGTAAGGATGCTTCAGCCCAGCTTGGCAGACCGAGTTTGACACTTGGAACCCACAGGGGACTCCCACAAGTTGTCTGTCCCCTGACCTCCACATTCTAACCATGACATGCATGTGCCCACAGACTACAACTTTTTTAAAAAGGGATTCTGGTCGGGTGGTGATGGCGCACGCCTTTTAATCCCAGCACCCCAGAGGCAGAGGGAGATGGATCTCTGAGTTTGCAAAAGGCCAGCCTGGTCTACAGAGTGAGTTCCGGGATAGCCAGGGATCCAAAGAGAAATCCTGTCTTGAGTGAAAAAGGGAGGATGGAATTCTGGACGTGGAAAAATGAATACAAGCTGTTACCTCTGTGAGCACGAGGTTGAGGAGGGGCTGTGAAGGGAGGCAGGGGTACAAAGAAGACATTTTAGTTCACATTTTCAGTGTTTTTAGCGCTGTGACTGTGTTACCCATTCAGAAATTATAAGGATCTCTTTAAAGTCAGCCACTGATATCATTTGGAGGAGTTGGTTTTTTGTTTTTGTTTTTGTTTTGTTTTTTTACTAATTCTTATTGAATATTAAGGCAATTATATTAAGTCTTTTCCATGGACCAAAGCCAAGGCTGGTAATTGAGTCAAATTTGATTTCTGCTCTGTGTGTGTGTGTGTGTGTGTGTGTGTGTGTGTGTGTGTGTCTCGCTGTCCTTGGTATGGTCAGAACCAACAAAGCCTGAAGTAATGGAGTCAGAAGGCTCTTCAGGTCCAGTCTGCTAGCTGTGATGTGAGGCTGAGCTTTAGTGGCCCCAGCGTCCCTGGGCACCGTGGCAGGTGTGTGCTAGGCAAGTTTTTAATGACGACAGGGGTAAGGGGGTAAATGCTCCTCGGTCCTGCCAGGTCTGCCCCCAGGAACCCTCTGGAGGCCTGAGGAGGATGAGACCCAAGGCTGAATCTCTGGTTGGCTGCTTGGAGCAAAAACCCATTCAGATCAGAGTGAAATGTTTTTTTATGCAGACACCACAAATCCAAAATGGGTCCTCTGGAATTGCCGTCAGCATTAGGCCTTGCTATCACAGGGCTCAGGGGTCAGATAAAGACGCACGCTTATTGAAGGCATCTTTTATTTTATGGAACAAAAGGAGTCTAGTGTGACAGCCGGGCGGCCGGAGTCAGCCCCTACCCCGTTGTTAGGTGCCTCACTGAGTCCTCCATGAGACCCACAAGGCACAGTGGAATTGTTACCTGGCGAGGGCTGTGCCAAAGCAGGATGCGTACCCTAATAAATCTGCCTGAAGATCAGAGACCAGAACAAGCCACTAGATTAAACATAAATGCCAGGCAGCAGTATAGCACACACCTTTAATCCTAGCACTCGGGAGGCAGAGATCTGTCTGAGTCTCTATGAGTTCAAAGCCACCCTGGACTACATGAGATTGACTCAGTCTAGGAGAGAAACAGAGCCAGGTGGTGGCACACACCTTTAAGGCCAGTACTTGGGAGTCACAAGCCTTTAATCCCAGAACTAGGAAAGTTGAGACAGGAAATGATATGGATGGGCGGAGAAGGGTATATAAGGAGTCCTAGCGGTAAGAGGTGGCTTGTAACTTTGTCTCTCTGATCCTTCACCCCAATCCACCCCAATATTCTGGCTCCAGGTTTTTGTTAAAAGACCATTTAGGAATTCGTGTTACCGCAGTGAGAGGGGCGCGGGTGTGAGACAAAAGCCCACACCTCTCCCCTCCCCCTTTTCCTACCAGTGAACTCCACTGGCAGCTAGGGCAGCCTTCTAGGAACCCCAGGAAGTCCTTTGACACAGATGTGGAGGCAAGTGGCCCGCCCTCCAGCCCCCAGCACAGACAACAGGGAGAGACGCTCAGGGTGATCCTGGGAGGACAGAGGGGTAGTGCTCGGCACTGTTCTGTCTGGACAGCCCCCTGCTTCGACCTCAACTTTAGGCCCTAAAGCCACCTGTTTCCTGGGTTAGGAGATCCATTCACAGCAGTGATGGCGGCTAACCTCTGTAATCCAGCATTTGGGAGAATGAGGAAGGATTGCAGTGAACTGGAGGTTACCCTAGGCTATGTAGTGAGTTCCAGATCAGCCTGGGCTACTGAAGGGAGGGAGGGAGGGAGGGAGAGACAGAGACAGAGACAGAGACAGAGACAGAGACAGAGACAGAGGAGAGAGATTGACTTTGGTTCAATAGGCTCCCTAGGCAGGTGTGGGTACATATGTATGTGATTCTCTAGTGTAAACATTTTTGGCCGCCACCAGCTCACAAATAATGACATAGAGACTTCTTTATTTTTTGGTTTTTCGAGACAGGGTTTCTCTGTGTAGCTTTGTGCCTTTCCTGGAACTCACTCTGTAGCCCAGGCTGGCCTCGAACTCACAGAGGTCCGCCTGCCTCTGCCTCTCGACACTCTGTAGCCCAGGCCGGCCTCGAACTCACAGAGGTCCGCCTGCCTCTGCCTCTCGAGTGCTGGGATTAAAGACGTGCAGCACCACCGCCCGGCGAGACTTCTTATTAATTATGAAAGCTTGACCACTAGCTTAGGCTGGTCACACTAGCTCTTAAGACTTCAATTAACCTGCTTTTATTAATCTACGTTCCACCACGTGGTTCGGTCCCCTCTACTCCATACTGTCTATCCGACCTCTTCAGTGTCTCCCTGGCGTCCCCTGGGCTCCGAGGCTCTTGCCCCTCAGTGCCTCTCTCTACCCGGGTGTCCCACCTATTGTCTCCGGCCTAGCTATCGGCCATTTAGCTCTTTATTAAATCACTCAGACGGCGCCTTAGACAGAGACACGTCTTTACAGTGTAAACAAATATTCCCCAGCGCTCTAGAGCAAGACCAAAGGAAGCAGATCCTAAGAGGAGAGGCATCTTCAGGGGGAAAAGGACAGGCAAGGTCTGAAGCTGCCCAGTTTACCAAACCTCCTTGTCCACTCTTTGCAGGATCCCCTGGAAAAATGCAAAAAAAAAAAAAAAAGTCCTAAAGATACAAAACCTGAACAGGGAGTCCCTAAATTAAAAGGAACTTCCTGGGAGACGAGGAAAGGCACAGGCCAATAGTAACAACAGCCCTGGGCTCAGGCTGGGCTCCCATCAACCCAGCAGGGGGCCCTCGAGCCTGGTTCTTGTCTGAAAACTGGCTAGGGCACTGGCGCCCTCTAGCCGGCTGGGGAAAGCAAATGCGGCCCTATTTCTGGAAGCAGTTTGTCCGCGGAGTTATTATCCTCTCTCTGTAGGTTATTCTCATTTTTGCCGGGTCTGGCGCCGTCTCTTTCTATTAAACTTTCAAAGAGGGACCTGCCTAAACATTTAAGATGGCAGGCGCTTTCCAAAAACACAGTAAGGAATTCAGAGAGGATGGGGGCTGATTCCTCGAGCAAACCCTGCCCTCGTGAGGCCGAGGGCAGGAGGACTGGAGTTTTTAATTAGGGTTCGAGGTCAGCCTGAGGTACACAGTGAGTGCCTGTCTCAAAAAGCAACTAATTAAATTAAAATTGAAAACGCCTGTGACAACTGGAAGCCGGATGAATTAAGCGGCCCATTAAAAGAAATAAAGGTCAAACAAGACGGCCCCCTCAGCACACCAGGGCGGCTGTGATCCTGCACGTCCTAACCCGGCCCCCCCAAGAAGGGCTCCCTCAGGAGACCGACTCTGCTAAAGTCCCAGAGAGCGGCTGGCAAAGCTCAGCTTAGCTCTACCGCACCCCCTGCCTGGAGCACAGGGCAGGCAGATCATTCATTAGCCATGCGTGATGCCTAATTAAGCACCAGCTCCTCAAGAGTGCAGGGCAGGGATTTTCACCGAAGACGGGACCGGCTGAGGCTAAACCGAAATCATGTGTGTCAATACCCTAGCTCAATGTCAGGTGCAGGGACAGGGCTCAAGCAGTGTCTGTTGAATGTGAATCTGAAGGGGTGACACCACCGATGCCTGCTTGCATGCCCACACAGATGTGCACCCCGAACAGAGATCTGTTCTCAAAGCAGAACGCGGCCAACGTTAATGGTGGAAGGCGTCGAACGGCGGGCAACACACACATTGTAGCAGCGTCTCGACTTCGGGGGGAAAATCGGATCGTGAGGATGCCAACTGTCTGTTCCGGGTTCAAATCTCGACACCTCCTCTTCTCTCCACAAGCGCAAGTATTCCGCACCCGGATCTGTGAACTGCAAGGCTCCCAGGTGGGGGGGTTAGGTGGTACGATTGGCACAAAGTGTGAGCACAGAGCGCTGGCTGAAAACCAGAAGCAGACCCCAACCGCCGAGGACGGTAGCGGGCACGTGGTTGTGTGCCCCCCCCCCTGCAGGGCCACGTGAGCGGAGCACGTGAGTGAGCGGAGCCCACCTGTTGTAACGGTGAGTACGCCCTGCGTGGGTGTGCGTGCGTGCGTGCATGCGTGGCAGGCCCAGTGGCTGCGTGCGTGGCAGGCCCAGTGGCCTCCGCAGAAGCTCCGTCCTCTCGACGTCCTTGCTGGTAGCCACCCCACCCTGGTGGCCTGCCCCATCTTCTGAGGCTCCCCGGCCTCCTGTTCCTCCTCTCCAGGCTCCCAGGCCCGGGCTCCCAGGAGTAGGGCCTCCATCAGACTCACGGAGGAGGACCAAAAGCTTCATTTTCCCGGTGAGTTCCTCGGGGCCTCACAGTTCATGTGCCCACCCAGGGCTCGGGTCTGTCTGTCCCTGGACTGGGCCTGGGCGTCAGTTCTAGTGCAGTGGCTGCCTTTTTAAGTTTTCCTGGATTCGGCTCAGGATTAGCCTTCTCCCTAGGGAAGCCAAGCCCCCCCTCTATGATCAGGTTAGCCCACATTTAACAGGATACAGCCAAATGTGCCGTGTGCCAAGGTCTGGCTTGGATGGTTCCTGTGTTGGGTGGTGTGGCCTGTGGTGTGCTGTTTCTTAATGTTTCCCCGGGCATAAAAAAGAGTTGCTGTTTGTCTTTCCGGAAACATTCGCTGTTCCCAGGCCCTGCTCAGTTTGACGGATGGAGAGTTTTGCGGACGACACTCCTGTAACTTCCATCTTTCAGATTGTGAGCGGAGACCTCCCTGACCAGAGCCACTGCCCTCGCTAGCATTCCTGGCCAGTAAATATTTGTTTAAAAGAACACATAAAACATGATGCTTTGCGAGTATGGCATGTTGCTACGGGAATGTTCAGAACAACAAGACAGCTGTAATGTTCTGCATTAATCTTGACTGTTTTGACAATGATGCTCAAAGTGCTTTGGCTTTTCTATATTTATTTATTTTCTTTTCTATAAAGCCAGGAAAATAACAACAACAAAAAGAAAAAGAGAAAAAGCAGGGGTGGGGGGGGTGGGGGGTTGTCACGGGTTGAAATCACACTGTGAGGCCAGGATGGAGACTGGGAGAACCTTGGCCTTGCATGCTTTGGGGGAAGTACTAACCCAGGAAGAGGGGGCCCTAGGCATGGTGCCACACCCACCGGGGGCCTGAGGTGAGATAGGTACAGTCCTTCGCCTGCCCTTGAATGAGACAGAGGGCTAGGTCCTGCCCGGCTGAGCAGTGAGGGATTTGGGACGGAAAACAAGAAAGAAGGAGAGGTTAGACTTTGATTCGGTCTCCCAGTTTGACCACAGGAGGCCTTTGTCTCCTGCATCCTAGCCACACCTAACATCTCCTTACCTCTTACTGATCCTAAGATGCGTGTTTGTTCACATCCTGACAGCTCTGAACTTGGGTCCCATAATTGCAAGGGGGGTCTTCCCTTTGCCGTGGCTTACCACATCGCTTTTGTCAATCTCAGTGGCTTGAAGGTCACCGGTGTCCTGGCGATGGTTAGCATCTCGGTCCGCGGCCGTGTTGGTGGGGTGACTTCAGGTTTCCAGTTGCAGGCTCAGGGAGAAACAATGAGCTACTTGCTATCGGGCTGGACTTGGCTCCCATAGGCCTGCCTGACTTTTTTGAAAATGGTTATGTAGTCAAGGACTGAGCCGAGGGGTGGTCAAAAGCCTGAACACAGGCACCTGTATAAAAAAAATACTATCCACTCTTTTGTGGGCGGATGAATGCCTTGGAGGAATGGTATTTGCAGCAGCAGGACCTAGTTACCCTGGAAGCAGCAGCGCTGGTCCATGGGTCTCATGAGTGCCCTGATTGGGCAGAGGGGACCTCTGCTGCCGCCGCCTCAGCCACACGAGTTACCAGTACTTTGAGCTCACCTGGAGATGGTCATTCCCTCCCAACCCACCCTTTTTTCTTTTTTTTTTTTTTAAGATTCATTTTTTTTTAAAGATTTATTTATTTATTTACTCATTTATTCATTTATTTAGTATACAGTGTTCTGCCTGCACTGCAGGCCAGAAGAGGGCACCAGATCTCATTACAGATGGTTGTGAGCTACCATGTGGTTGCCGGGAATTGAACTCAGGACCTCTGGAAGAGCAGCCAGTGCTCTTAACCTCTGAGCCATCTCTCCAGCCTCAAGATTCATTTTTTAATTACGGGTATATGTGGGGGGCGGGGTGTGCATATATACACAGGTACCCACAGAGGCCAGAAGAGGGTGAAGAAGCCCTGAAGCTAGAGTTCACAGGCAGTTGAGAGCTGCCTGATGTGGGTGATAGGAAAGGAACTCAGGTCCTGTGAAGGAGCATCCCGAACTACTCTGGAGCCATCTCTCCAGCCCTCTTTCCTTTGTTTCTGCGTTGGCTTGCCAACCGAGCTTTGGGGATTCAGTCTACTTGCTACTGTATTTTAGCTGGCTTAATGACCGTGCTCCCAGGGAGTTTCGCTAATTAAGCTGCAGGATATTAGAGCACCAGTCAGCACCACAGGCTGTCTGTGGCAGGCAGGCTGTGTGTTTAACCAGGTGAACAGGTACCCGGCCTGTGGAAGGTCGGGGCTGGTGTCACCCTCCTGTGACACCAGGCCAAGGCTCACGCACCTTCTGCTGTCTTAAGAGAAGACACGGGCTGACCCCAGGAGGCCTCGAGTTCTTCTGGACTTGATTCCTGCTGTGCCCACTCCTGGCGGATGTTTTAGCTCCTTCTAAAATTAGAATCTTCCAGCGTGCAAACATAGCCTGTAGCTAACATGGAGATGGTGTGTATTGAAGCGGAGGCTTTTAGAAGTCACCGTTCTCTTGGAAGCACACTCCGAGGCTTGCAGATGCAGACACACTTTATTATCATCATCACCGCCAGGCTGTTGATTTCCCTTTTCGTCTCGTTTTGTCTTGTCTAAACTGGGTCTTTTTATGTAGCCCTGTCTGTCCTGTGACTCGATATGTAACGATATGTAGATATATAGACCAGGGAGGCCTCGAACTCACAGAGATCCGTCTGCCTCTGCCTCCCAAGTACTGGGATTAAAGGCATAGGCCACCATGCCCAGCTTTACTTTTTCCATCTTTGAGAATGACTTTGGGGATGTCATTTTTATTTTGTTTTACACTTATTTATTCTGTATATATGTGTATACTTGTGGACACACTTGTAGCACACTGTGTATGTGGAGGACAGAGGACAACCTCTGGGCACACTTGTCCCACACTGTGTATGTGGAGGTCAGAGGACAACCTTTGGGAGTCAGTTCTCTCCTTCCTCTACATGGTTTCCCGTATCCACTGAGATAATCATGCTTGACAGCAAGCATCCTTTCCTCTTGAGCCATTTAGAGAGCTCTGGGTATGTTTTCATTGTAGATTTTTCCTTGATCTTCTCTATTTCAGTTTGATTTGTTCGAAGTACTGCAAGTTATTTTAAAAAATAAACAAAACTAGTTTTCAGCCACTGCAATGACAGTCTTTCCAGGCAAGAGTCATCAGTGGATGCTGACACTGGGAGCTTTCAAAAGTACGACAGGAAATGGGATGTTTATGTAATCTCGGAGCATCTTCCCGTAAGGTACTGATTCCTGACAGAGGAGAAAACTGTAGAACAGCAGCAGAGAAACCTTGTGCCTCCCACCTTGGCCCGGTGATTAGAGTTAACAACAACAGTAGGGGGAGAAATGGGCACCGTGTGGCTTCTGACGAGGTGCACAGAGGGCTGCCTAAAACATGCAACCTGAATCTAACCACAAGGAAGCCACACACAGGACCCTAACTGAGAACTCCATGGGATAACTCACCAGAACTCAAACAGGATGAAAATCACATGTTTAGTTAGGTGTCGTAACAGGCACCCATAATCACACACTCAGGAGCCTGAGGCAGAAAGAAGTCACATAGGTAAAGTCTATCTTTTTTTTTTCTTTATTGGCTTTCTATAGATCAGGCCAGCCTCTACCTAGGAGATCTGCCTGCTTCTGCCCTCTGTGGTGGCTGGACTAAAAGCATGAGTCACCATGCACAGCATGTGAGTTCCAGGACAGCCAAGGCTTGGTAGAGAAACCCTGTCTCATAAAAACAAAAACAAAAACAAAAACAAAACAAAACAAAAAAGGAGATTGGTGATGATGGCACATGCCTTCAAACCCAGCACTCAGGAGGCAGAGGCAGGTAGATCTCTGTGAGTTCAAGGCCAGCCTGGTCTACAGAGTGAGTTCTAGGACAGCCAGAGCTACACGGTGAAACCCTGTTTCAAAAACAAACACACACACACACACACACACACACACACACACACACACACACACACAGATGACCTAATGAAAAACACTTGGAAATACCTGATCTCCCTCAGCTGTTGATAAAGGGATTTAAAGGTTTGGGGAAATCACAATGCCAGAGTGGGTACACTGGGTAAAACCTAATACTCCACAATGGGAAAGCCCAGAAGACAGGCCCTTCACTGCCCCTAAAAGACACAAAATGGTGAGAGGGGACCCAGCACATTTGAAGAGTTCTGTTGTCACCCTTTTCCTTGTGCCAGACCTTAGGGTTGGAGGTGTTGCTGCTCAAATGGATGAATTAAATGCAGTGCTTTTAATTGAGACCTGAGGTAGCAGGGACCAGATGGCCAAAGGCAAGGTGATCATAGTTATTGTAATGGGCAGCATAGGCAAACCAATGTTCATAATGGCCTAACGTAATCATCAGCACAGGCAAGGTGAATTTCACTATGGAATGACTGGTAGTGGCTAATCAATCATGGTGTTTCCAGGCATGAAATAGGTAAGAAGCTTACTGAATTTTTGTTCCATCTGTATAAGCAGAAAAATCTCAAACAAATGAAAGAAAGGCTCCATAGGATGGTGGCAAAAGGGGATCTTGGCTGATGAATCAACTTCCAGACTTAAGCCGGACCCAGAACCCCTTGGAGGGCCAGGATCCCCTGAAGAAGGATCTTGATAAAACACCAAAAGTTTCACTGTTAGCCTTTCTCCAGTCCTTCCCAGAGGGACCAATGGCCTTCTAAAAGGGTAACTATAAACTGGAGGAAAGGAAATGATCATACTTTCTGGGGTCTGTTGGATACTGGTTCTGAATTGATGCTGATTCTGGAAGATCCCAAGAAACACTGTGGCCCTCCAGTTAAAGTAGGGGCTTGTGGAAGCCAGGTGATTAATGGAGTCTTGGCTAAAGTCTGACTCACAGTAGGTCCAGTGGGTCCCCAAACTCATTCTGTGGTTATTTTCTCAGTCCCAGAATACGTAATTGGGGTAGTTATACTTAGAAGTTAGCAGAATTCTCACATTGGTTCCCGACTTCTAGAGTAAGGGATATTATGGTTGGAAAGGCTAAATGGAGGCCTTTAAGGTTGCCTTTGCCAAAGAAAATAGTGAATCAAAAACATTATCACATCCCTGGAGGAACCGAAAATATTAGAGGCACCATCAAGGACTTGAAAGATGGGGGGGGGGGGGTTCCCACCACATCTCCCTTTAACTCTCCCATCTGGCCAGTGCAGAAGACAGACGGATCAAGGAGGATGACAGTTGACTGCTGAAAACTCAATCAGGGAGTAAGTCCAATTGCAGCTGCTGTACCAGATGTGGTGTCCTTACTTGAGCAGAGTAAACACATCTTCTGGTACATGGTATGCAACTATTGATCGAACAAATGCCGTTTCCTTGAAACCTGTCCATAAGGACCACCAGAAGCAATCTGCTTTCAGTTGGCAGGGCCAGCAGTATACCTTTACAGTTTATATTTTAACTCTCCTGCTCTGTGTCACAACTTAGTAAGAAGGGATCTTGATCATCTGTCTCTTCCACCAAATATCACATTGGTACACTATATTGATGACACCATGCTGATTGGACCAAGTGAGCAGGAGGTAGCAACCACTCTGAACTCTTTGGTAACACATATGCATATCAGAGGATGGGAAGTAAATGAAGGGCCTTCTTCCTCAGTGAAGTTCAAGGAGTCCAGTGTTGTGGAGCGTGCAGAGATGCTCCTTCCAAGGTGAAGGGAAGGATAAATGATTTTACTTGGCTCCTCCCACCACCAAGAAGGAAGCACATGCAGTGAGTCTGTCTGGGTTCTGGAGACAGCACATTCCTCACTTGAGTGTGGTATTCCCAACCCATACACCAAGTGACTCCGAAAGCTGCTGGCTTTGAGTGGGGCCTGGAGCAGGAGCAGGCTCTTCACCAGGTCCAGGCTGCTGTGCAGGCTGCTCTAAGGCATGGACCACGGGATCCAGCAGAGCTGATGGTACTGGAGGTGTCAGTGGCAGATAGGGATGCTGCTTGGAGCCTTTGGCAGGCCCTATAGGTGAGTCCCAGAAGAGACCTTTGGGATTGTGGAGCAAGTTTCTACTCCAGTTACAAGGCCATCTGATGCCAAGCATACACCTAGAGCCTCATGGGATGTGCCTTATGATTGGTTGACTGAGGAAGAGAAGACAAGGGCCTGGTTTACTGATGGTTCTTCATGTTATGCAGGCATCACCCAGAAGTGGACAGCAGCTGCAGCTACTTTACAAGCCCTTTCTGGGACAACCCCGAAAGACTTAGACAAAGGGATATTTTCACAGTGGGCAGAACTCTGGGCAGTACACATGGTCATGTATTTTGTTTTTTTTTTTTTTTTTTT